CCTCTTAGCACTGGTGATGTATATAAATTTGTTAAATGTTACACTGGTGCCTCTATTTACTTATTTACTCCTTCTCATCTAACCAAAAAGCATCAGTTAGTTCTACAAACATGCCAAATTTGAACACTTACCACTTGATTTGATTTCTCGAACATAGTTGCTAAGGAACCAGCCAGTTTTGCCATCTATATAAATTTAAATAAACCTTGTTAACCTCCGATAGCAGCAGATGTAGTCTTTTTGTTTCTTAGGACTGCTGGAAAACTCAGCTGGGTTTAATAATTTCCAAATGATAAAATTTTAGTCATTAGTTGCAGACTTTTGCTACATAAAATGGGAAATGAGAAAATTTAATCAGCTTAATTTTCTAAGCTCTCAGTTTTAAACGCAAGACAGCTTGATCCTCTCTCTGCTGCTCCCCACTCTCCCTGGTTTTCTACACCTCTAATAAAGTCAGGTACTCTCTTGAGTAAAACATCATCTTTTACGAATCCTTTTTATCAGTTTGGTAAACTTAACGGCATCTTCTCCAAATCTCTGGGAAGAATCACAAAACATCCTTCCCTCCCTCCTTTCTATCATTATCAATTTTTTTTTAAATAGGGGTACTTATTTTAAAAAAAAGTTTCACGCTGAAATGAGAATCTGTGATTAGGATATCTCCATTTCTTCAACAAATACATTGATATGCTGTCACAAAAAAAAAAATCACTATCTGTAGCCTAATTTCTATTAGTGACATCAAGTTTAAACAGCTCTGCAGCATATAATTTTCTAAATCAAGATTCTGTGGCTATGCAAACACTCCTGAGTAAAACAATTTTCTAACACAACTGAATTTTTCAAAAGCCACTGAAATTACAAATGTAAACCTACAAAAACTCAACATTACCCAAAATTTCAGCGTCTGAGGAATCTTCAGCCATGGGCTAATAATGCACTGCAGTACAGAAAAGTCTAAAGGTGATCACACGTGAAAACTAAATTGATAAAGTATTAGCCAAACTCAAAATTGGAGCCCTGGTGGTGCAAAGGTTAAGCACTTGGCTGCTAAGTGAAAAGGTCGGCGGTGTGAACCCGCTGTGGGCGCTGCAGGAGAAAAGACCTAGCGATCTGCTCCTGTGAAGATTACAGCCTAGGAAACACTATGGGGCAGTTCTACTCTGTCCTAGAGGGTCATTCATTATGAATTGGAATCAATTCAACGGCACAACAACAATAAACTCAAAATTACTCTGACTCTGATGAACACTGGATTCTGTTAGAGATTTTCTGAGGAAAATCTCTATGCCCAAGGATTCTTAATTCTCATCCACATAAAATCAGAATGCTAAAAAGATAAATTTGACTTACATATTAATGCATTTCTCAAAAACTATGTTCCTAGGCAAACCACTCTTCCTTCCAAAAAAAAGTTTAGTTTTATAAAGCAAAGGAAATATTCTAAGGAATTGTTTTACATGTTAGCTCATTAAAGTCACTGAGATATAATGATTCAAACTTGGTCATAAGTCACATAAACATCTTTACATCTACAAAAGCATTATCTTCAAATGATAACAGAGAAATGAATTCATCAGCCTTCTAAATGTTGGAGCATTACAACAGAAAGACTTTTTTTACCCAAGTATTCTTACATTCTCACATTCAGATTTCATAAAAATTCAGTGGCCCAACAATGTTAAAATGATCATAACACTATTATTTTAAATAAATATAATTAGAAAAACAAAGAGTGAATAAATGAACAAACAAAAATTTATCAAAAGGAAGACCACGAGGTGCAAAGTGGATTTTTGTTGAATTTCTATAGAGATCTGGTTCCTGAATTAAATATGTAATCTCACACTGTTTGTGGGTATATACATATATACACACACAGATGTCTCTAATAAAACTCCACTAACTTATAACAGGCAATTGTAGCAAACTGATCGGGACAGAGTGATATAGCAATATAAAGAACAAAAACTACGTGGAAGTCAAACAATGGAAAAATTAATCCTTCAGAGCTTCCATTAGTCATGAGAACCATCTTACAATAACTCTTTTTGACCTGTGATGGAGAATTACTTGAAGCAGCAGTACTCAAACTTAGTGGACTTTTAACAATATCTTATTTTGTGGTCCTATTTGCCCCCATCCCCTCCTACAACTATTGTATGATACACAATTATTTTTAAGGAATTAAATGTATCTTTAGTTTCTCTAATAGTTTTTTAACACTCTTAGAATAAATTTGGATATTCTGACACTAGAGTATGCCCCAATGGCATATACTCTGCCTCGGTGATTCGGTGAAATCACTGCTTTGGCAATTTCAAGCCTTTTACTTTTAAAGAAATGAGCCACTTTAAACAAATACCTGTATTCCAGAGCAAGCTGGAAGACTGTCTTGCCAACATTATAAAACTGCACTTTTAGTTTTTAAAATCATGCAAATCACAAAACCAGATCTTGAAAAAATATTAATATACGTAGGCAACTGACAAATTATCCTAAAATACAGGTTCTGTTATTGTGTTCCGTCAAATCAATTCCCACTCATTACCCATTGCCGTCGAGTCGACTGCGACTCATAGCAACCCTATGTTATAGGACAGAATAGAACTGCCCCGTACAGTCTCCTAGACTATAACCTCCCACAGAGCAGCTGGTGGGTTCGAACCACAGACCCTTCCGTTAGCAGCCAAGTGCTTAACCACTGTGCCACCACGACTCCTCAAATAAACCTTGTCGACTCAGAGGTGGCATCCATACCAACTCCCAGCTCCTCTCCTCCTCGCCCTACTAGGAACCAGTATGTGCTCTTATCCTTGAGACTTCACAGTACAGACAGCTCTGCTCCACTCCAAGATAGGGCGGACCACTGCTGGATCCCTGAGCCACGGCCTCGCATCAGGAAACCAGCGATCATGAGACGCACAGCACCCCTTAGATTTGTTCTCTCTCATGACAGAATAGCAAGAGCAAACGTGCCTAGTACACATCTGCTCCTGTACCACCCTCACCTAGGTTCAGCTACTAATCAACTAAGTGATGAAGCTTTATATCAACAACTCTAATTCACTACGCTAAAGGGCAGGGGTCTTTTATTGATTTCTGTACAGAGAATCTCGCTCACTGCACGGTTCCTAGGTGTCCAATGCGTGCATCCGATATGCATGTATAAAAAGGTGTTGAACCACAAAAGCTGGAAATAAAGAACAGGAGCCTCCCTCCCAAAAAGGAGAGAGAGAAATAAAAGCAGAGATGTGAGAAGTCAGAAGAAAGCAGCCACGGAGAGAAGAGATAGTTAAGGCAACCAAGAGTGTCAGAGGGGAGTACATACAGACGCCCCTCTCCCCACAAGATTAAGTTCCAATAGGTTCTGCTGGGCCAAGCCTCCCTTGTTAGGATTCATCCACGCGTGTCAGAGTAGGCAGCATGGCAAACCTATCACTTCTACAACAATGGAAAAGGGAGGGGGACCATCTAGAAGGCCTAAAGGCATTTTTCATCTCCCTACAGAGCTGTTTACAGATACTTCATACACAATTTTAAACTTAATATAATCAATGTTTCTCCTGTTTTATGTCCACAATAGGGCTAAGTTAGAAAAAAAGAAAATGTTAATACAGTTTTAAATATAAAAAGTTACCCTTCTTTCTTAAATTAGATTTTATACCAAAATATAAATAAACACTAAAAATTGTCATACTAAGTATTAAGCAGAAATGATTCATGTTAAACTGCAAATGAAAGCTAAAAAGTGTCATGTTGAATACTGAATGTGTTAAAATAAAAAGATGGCATAAAATAGAAGCTATAACTTCATTCAATGTAGATACACATCATACAATATTTTTATTTTATTATTTAAGGCAAGGGAATGGGTGATAATAAAGACGAACTAAAAACTTTTTATCCTAGGGTCTAGTTTATCTCTATTACCCAAACCCACTGCTGGTCAAGTCAATTCCGACTCCTAGTGACCCCAAACGGTTTCCAAGGGGGCAAATCTCTATGGAAGCAGACTGTCACATCTTTCTTCCGTGGAGCGGATGGTGGTTTTGAACCACTGGTGGTTTTGAACCGCCAACCTTTTGGTTAGCAATCACTTTAACCATTGTACCACCAGGGCTCCTTAGCTTATCTTTATTACTTAATATATATTTATGTCATGGGTGAACCAGTCAAGAAATAAATTTTTGCTAACTACATTTCAAAGAAAGTCACAACGGTCAACCAATGGAAACTAAGCATTTTGATTCCATGAAAAAAATGTTAAAAACATAGCAGAAATGTATTCTCCAGTTTAATTTTTTTTGCCTTTGAACTAATTTACTTAAGATCAATACATATGAAAGAGTGGTCATCATTCTTCCCCCGTCTATGAATAAATAAGAAGCAGAAGATGAAACTAGTTACATTATATTTTGGGGTATTTCTGTTAACTGGAAAGTAGTCTCCTTAAGTTGGGATTTTTTTAAATGTATTTTATACAAATGATATTTATGTTTAAAATGCATTTGTTCTAGCTTTATAAATTTTGCTTTTTTATTGAAAATCTATTTTGTATTCTATGAAGGCTAGTGCCCTAGTATAGGATGGTTGAGGGGGAACAGTTTTGCCTTAAAGAAAAAAGAATGCAAATGCATGATTTAAAATGAATTAATCTTAAAGCCTGAGATCTAAGTATACTATACTTTTTGTACTAACATCTTAAAAGTGAACTTTTCTTGACTTGTGATTCAAATTACGGTTAAGTCTAAATACCTATACACATCTTTCTCCTATTTCAATTGTTGGATTTTAAGTGAAAACAAGAACAATTTACAATCCAAAATATAGCAACACATTTTTTTTTTTTTTAATTTGGAAAAACGAATGAAAAATGGAAGCTCTTTTAATGTAAAATTGCCATGGTTGGTTAGTTGAAACAACAGTGGACACATTCCCAATACCAAGATGAATATGAAAAAAATAAGTAGCATAGTATCATAAAATTTGTAGCTTACTTTGTGCCTTTTCACAGAAGTTTATCTGAAAGCCTAAAGTAAAAGAGATAAGTTCCAGTTCATTTACTGTAAATCAAACAAACCAAAATTAGAATATGACATTACATTTTTATATTACATTTTGAATAAAACTAACTCAAGAACAGTTCAAATTGCATTACCCCCACAATTACAGAGACAACTGTAATACACGGGCTTTCTTTAAAAACCCAGCTCTTTTAGCTGAGTTGGAACTAAAATCCAGTTAAATTATAAGAGTTATACCATCTTAAATTTTATTTTTCACATCTCTTCAATAAAAAAGAATACTTATCGGCCCTGGGAAGTTAAGAGTAACTTTGTTAGTTCTGTCAATTTTTTCAATGTTTTCAACCTACAAATTCAGAACATATTACAAGGTATTTTACCAACTCAAATTACTGATTTATAACACTGATTATTACTATGATTCAGTAGTTCAGTAGTTCACAAACTGTGAAACCTAAATACACACAAAGCAACATTTTCCAGTCAAGTAGCTAACGTCAAATGATAAAACCAAAATCAAAACCCTTTTCGGTACAGTCGACTTCAACTCACAGTGACCCTATAGGACAGAAAAGAACTGCCCCATAGGGTTTCCAAGGAGCGGCTGGTGGATTTGAACTGCCAACCTTTTGGTTAGCAGCCGAGCTCTTAACCATTGCACCACCAGGGATCCACCAGTAAAATTAGCCAGTTAAAACTAAAGCCTTCTCAAAATATTATTCCACTCCCTAGTTTACTGGGCAAGTACCTGGTTTCCTTAGTGTATACCTCTGCGTGTTTACTACTGCTATGGGGGGAAAAAATAGAGAAAATAAATTCAGAATGAGTATCACTGAAGCCCGTATCTATACAAACTGAATCAAAATTTGTAGGAAAAAGAGGCAAGACTAAAGGAAGGATATATTTATTAGTAATCTGTCCCATCCGGCTATCAAAATTCCTAAGATTCTAAGGTAAAGATATTATCTGTAATGTAGTACAACTGAAACTGCTAATGTAGCTATTCTGACACAAAGATACCTTTTCCCTTCTACCTCTCAGGCTTAACTCATCGCTTAACTACCTAATTATACAAATGACAATGCAGGAGGAAATGTGAATGGAGAGACTTCACAGGAAAGGAATCCTGGAGCCAAACCTGGAAGATGAGTGGTAGAGGGCACTGGCCCTAGTCTCTACTACTGTAGCTCAATACGCTGCCCCACCAAATGGGCGGAGGGAACAGAACTCAGAAAAATCAGAGATCCCTGAGGCTTATAAATCTTGAAGTCTAAGCTCTTAAAAGCCAGCCAGGCAAAAATCAGGAGGAAAGGAAAGAGAAGTGAATCACTGGAAGCAGAAATGGGATAGAGAGCATGAGGGAGTGCCGCGGCCATACTTTGGAAGCAAGTCTCCCATGGCATCCCAGCGGTAGAAGGGAAGGTACAATTCACCCAGTACCAGAACTGTAGAGGAAGATGATGAAACACCTTAAGGCTACAGATGCTCTTTTTAGCTCTAAGGCTGCTACGAGGTAGCAATAAAGAAAGGTGAGAGAAAGGTGAAAAAAAATAGCAATATGAATAGAAGAAGAAAAATAAATGTAAAAGGCATACGGGACTGAGAATGATAGAATGTCACCAATTACTGGTTAGAAGTTATGCTCAGTTTAAGCGCTAAAAAAAATTTCAAACCTTGAAGTTCTTCAAACAATGCAAGTAGCTATTCTCTATGCACAACTACCGTAAAACCTGTGAAAGCCGAAAGCTGTGTAAGGCGGCATCCTGTTAGAGAAGGAAAACTCAAATCTTTTCCACTAAAATGAGCAACAGAAAAGTAGCAAGACTGCATCCTGTCAGATGCAGAAAACTTTCAAGACCCAAAAAACAAGGCAGCCCCTTAGAGTTCCCGCTCTCACAGGTTTCACTGGATACACTTGCTCTTTTTACCTAATTATGGATGAAGTGACCAAGTGAATGAATTCTGAGGCCTCACACAAACACCTCTCTCTGCACGATTCCTCATTCAGCAAAGACCTGGTAAGTGACCCAGAGTCCACTGGCAAGCAAGGGCTAAACTAACTGGAACATAAATGACTCACCTTTTTTAAGCAATTCCATGATTTTTTAAACATAATCAATTAAATAAAGTAGAAAGTTACTTTAGCTAAATCCTTCTATACCTCTGAAAGTCCAAAAAAGAGGAAAATATACATATAAAGAAGATCTGCAGAGGTCAGAATTTTTGTTTTCTTTCAAATTATAGATTTTGGAAAGAACCAAATTGTTCCGCTAGTTCATTCACTCACAGGGCAGGGAGGAGCAAAGGAGACCACCAACAATCTTGTACAAAAAGACAAAGATGGTTGGAAAGAAATGGTAAGGAAAACTTCCAGTATCCTTGATTTTTCAAACAACACGTTTGTGGCTACGCTGTAACACCCATCAGTATTCATTCACATACGCTCAATTTCTGAGCTCTCCCTTCTCTCCTAAATTCTGTGTTTCCATTCACTTACTTCAAGTCCTACATCTCTGGGAGTACTCAGATACTAGCTGGATCTGTTGATAGTGACCAGTTAATTTTAAAAGTCTTAGATGTCTGACTATTTTTTATCCTGATGAGTTATCTGTACCCTGGGAGTTAATTTTACATGGTTTGGTCCTCCACTTTAATTTCCCTAAAGCGGGGGGGAGACGGGGGGTGATTTCCAGTCTTTTTCAATTTATGTGGCCCCAGGCAAATTTACTTTCATTAAATCTTAGCCCCTCAAGAATAAATACCGAAATGTATAATGCAGCGTATCAGTAAGCCCACAAAAGAAATAAAGCTATGCTTGCTTCGTTGGTTTGTTTTTTGTTTTCCTTCGTTTTCTTTCTGGGTCTCTCTCACCCTCTTTCTTCCAGTCTTCTTTCCCACATTTACCCCTCATTCTAACCCTCTTAACCCAATCTTAAGATCCCTTAACTGCCATAACTGAAAATCTACAATTTACGGTTTTGTTTTGATTTTTCCAAGTAAAGCGAGATAGTCCACATTAGTCTAAAAGGCCATCTAGGATACATGTTAAGTGTATATACAAACAAAAACGAACAGTATTTGATGTAGCAGAAAACAAAACAAAGAGTGTCAGGAGCGAGACAGGGTTCTAGTTCCAACTGTGAAATTTAAACAAGTCATTTCACTTGAGCTCTAGTCTTCTCATTTACATATAAAATTAGGAATAATTATCAGGTAATCTTATCTTTGTGGGCAGTGGTGGTTCAGTGGTTAAGAATTCTCACCTTCCATGTGGGAGACCTGAGTTCTATTCCCAGCCAATGAACCTCAAGCACAGACAACACCCATCTGTCAGTAGAGGCTTGTGTGTTGTTATGATGAACAGGTTTCACACTATGACAGACTAGGAAGAAAAGTCTGGTAATCTACCTCCAAAAAATCAGTCTGTGAAATCTCTATGGATTATAAAGGTCCCATTCCATTGCACATGGGGTTACCATAAGTCCAGGCCAACTTGACAGCAGCTAACAAGAATCTTACTCTACAGTTTGAAAAGTGTCTGAACCTAATTTTGCTTGTCTAATGGCCCTTGTGTTTTGCAGTTATCACTTTTTCTCTTCCTGTGGGTTGACACGCGAGAAGAGGTAGGGAGGATGGAGGAGAGGAGCATAAATGGTTTCCCACCTCCTCAGTAGTTTCATATGGCTTCCTGAATAGTCTGGATGTTTGTACCACTGAAAACACATTATGAACTACGGTATGAACACATAATAACATAAAGGAATTTAGAGTTGCCTTACTGAGCCACAAGCATGAAGAGTCTAGTTGTTTGCCACCTTCCAACTTCAACCTCAAAATTCTGGCATGTGCCTTAAACTGCAAAGTTACCCATAGTACTTCACTATGGTTCTAACATCTAAGGATTTATCTAAACTTGTCCTAAATTTGTATTTTCACTTAGAGTAAGCCCTTCCACAAGAATTATTTCCTGTTGCTTTAGCTGTATTTTTTATAGTTTTCCTTTACCTTTCTCAAACTTAAAAGGGAGCCCCCTAATTTACTAATTCCAGGTTGTTTCAACATGTAGAAACTTTCATGATTTTATAAGTACTAATCAAATCTTTTCCATGTTTCAGGACATTGTCAGTCCTCGTATCCCACCTTTTTTCCTTCCCATGGCCACTGACTACTTTATGAACTCTTCAGTTATGTAACTAAACGCCATATTACCATCTCAAGCCTATTCAATGAAGCTTAGTATACCCAGAGAGAGCAACTTAATAACTATGTGACCTTAGGCAAGTACCTAAGTGTGATGAGCCTCAATTTCTTCATCTGTAAAATAGAATAATAATATGCAAAAGTGTTTCGCGAAGTGTTTTGAGCAGGTAATTATTATCATAATCGTTATTATTCCTGCTCTCTCCCTCAGTTAAGCAATGACTGTGGCACCTCCTCTATTTCTACAGGTGTTCACCAGACCAGCTTAACCTACACAAAACCAGTCCCTCTCCTTTCATCCTTCAAAGAGTTAAAAGGGACAGACTCCAGACATCGCTGGCAAACCCACCCCACTCTCTATACCTCTGCCACAGCCCTTCTTAGACACAGCCAGGTGTCCTGAGGACTCTAACTTAAACTCCAAAAATATGGCTGCTTCCCCGACAGGCACCTAGCCCAGATCTCAGGGATACTGGCAAACGCATCAGAGGAGCCACCAGTGCCAGCTGACTTTTTAGCAAAGCAAGGCAATGAAAGGTATGGATATATCAGATATATATATATATGCGTATATACATATATACATATCAGAGCTATAACTAGCAATGCTTTTCTTGTTCCCCCCTTGTTTAATTTTGTTGTAGCAATTTTTAGAAAGATTAAATAAAATACAGCTTGAAAAGCTGCTGTGATGTCCACATCGATCATCTTCCCTGTGGTGGGAATGATGTGTTGCTGTTCGTCATGAATCAAGCCGTGTATGATGTAATTGTTTTCTTCCCTCAAAAGGCCCATCTTGAGTCTTAACAACTGGCCAATGCTCCCTTTCACTGTGTAGCCACATATTAGGCCAATCTTGTTACTCCCTGCCTTTGAATTCTTTTTATAGGTATACATTAACTCTGTATCTTGCCCAGCCTGTGAAGAGACACATGAAGACTTCCTGGAGTGAAGACAAAGGGCTAGAAGCTAACTCATGTCCACTAGCAGGGGCAGTAATTTGCATAAATAGCCCAGGTGACAAATTTAGCCAGAATGGCAACATACATTGTTAACTCTTATGTTAAATGAGCTTCTTTTATACCTTAAGTAGAGTGTTGAAGGGATTCTATTACCTTTCAAATCTACACTGGCTTCATTGGCCAATGCCTAGGTGAAGTCTTCTATTTACTTGCAGATTCCTGATCAAAATACCTCCTGATTCAAAATGCCAGTGTAAGTCCTCCAGTAAGTTTAGAACTCTGAAACATAAAGGAGGAATCAGGAAGCATAAAGGCTCCAAAACCCACACAAAAGTGGCTGGTTGCTTAGAGCTTCCACCTCCTGACTGGAACCTAAAATAATCTCTCTTCTATTCTTGAATCTGTATCACTTCTGACAAAGCATCTTCACTCAGACCTGAAAGGCTGAAATGACTTAAAGAAAGTTCAGAGAACCCACGTGAACCCATGTAGTAGAGTGGTAAGAAGAGCAAAGGCTACCAAACATATAGGCCAGATTAAAACTCACCTCTACTAGGGTAATTTACTTAAATGCCAGTTGCTTAATCTATGAAAGGGGACTACACTCACCTTAAGAGTAGCTGTGGGCTTCAAACTAGGTGAGGAACAAATTAGGTGAAAGCAACATAAGTGAGCTGTGTTAACTGCTGGTTTTCCTGTCTTCTTCAAGCCTGAATTAAAGCTTTTTAGGTTGTATAATCAGGGCCATCTCTATCTCCTAGAGAGGGAGATTGAAAAAGAGATTGACCTGGATTATGTATGTATGATGGAGTCAATTATGATATGCAGACCCCTAAAAACAAGAAAAACTCTATGGATCCAAATCCAGCCTCTCCATTTAGGTAAAAGAATAGAAATTTGCTAAAAAAGAAAACATGACTCTAAATACAGAGTTAACTAATACCCCATTTTAAACAAGTTTCAGCATGCATTCCCTCTGATAAGGTACATTAGAGGAAAATACGAGAAATCCTCAATTGAGAATTCTTTTCTCCCATAAATGTAAACTCATCCTAATGTCATTTTTTTTTTTTTTTAAATTTTATCTAACTTGGCAAACAGATCTACATTTTGCTGGTTTTAGTCACCAAAAACCTGAAGCATAAAAACCACTCAACTTATAAATGCTGGGTGTGTTTGTGAACAGATATGAGAAAAAATGAATTGGGATGAATGAAATACTAAAATGTGTGAGTAATGACAAAATAGCAGCTATTCCCCAATACCTCAGGAGCAGAAGGAAGAATGATAAAAGAAATTGTCGCCAGATTAGAAGCCACACCAGTTAGTAGAAAAATGTAACTGAAACTAGGTTTGTTGATGACTGTTGTAAAGGAGTACTCACTATAACTCCCATTCCAGCCCAAAGAAAGAATATAGCAAACTGTTGCTAGATTTCTATTTCATAGCACTCAAAACTGTTGCTAGATTTCTATTTCATATAGCATTCAAACTGTAACTCATTTGAGAATCCTCAGATCCAGAAAAGGGAGAATATCTGGAGTTTGAATTAGAACATTCATCTGTAATATTCTAAAGGAAATGCTCAAATGATGAAAAT